ATTGTCTCTAAGATTGAAAATGGATCAGAGATATGACAATGCCCTTACCCACCTATCAAAGTTACTTTGTTTGATCTTTTCAAACTCTATGTATGTTTGACGAGGGTCCCTCCTTAGGTTCCTGAAACGGTGTCTGTAGACCTATAGTACTCGCTCATTTACATTTAAGATGGTTTTCTTCATCTCATTATACTGCCCAGATACCTCCTGTGATAGTGATGTAATACCTCACTAGCTGTAGCTAGCAACTTTGTTTGGATCAACAATACCCACTGGCAACATACAGCTCTCAGAAAGCCCGCTGAATTAACCAAAAGTACCACTGTATTTTAGCGCAAAATCCTCATTGAAGAAATTATAGAGATAAAACATCCCAGACAGCGGAATTATGGAAGGAAGGCATTTGTGAAGAGAGTGGAGACAACAGAATATTCAAGAAGTCTGTGCAAACTTGGAGAGATTAAGTTATAATTTATTGCTTCTTATTAATTGGGTTTATATCAGCGGGACTTGTCTTTATTTACACAGCATTTCAGTAGAATTTAGACCAGTTAGGAAGTAGTTAGTAGTCTAGGGGGGAATTATTCAGTTTGTTGGTAATTTTGTTAATTTATTAATTGTTGGGTTAAATAAATAAATTGTTTCTTGTTACCTGTAAAGTGAAGATGAGGGATTTTTTTTCTTTCAACCACTCTTCTAATAGATTACAAGGGGAAAAGCAAGCTTCTCTGGGTGTTTTGGGGTAATTATTATAAAGGGAACCTCTACTCCCATCATAGCAGATTGGGGCTTGGGTTTTAGCAATTATCAGTGGGGTTCGGCCATTCCCCCATTGTAACAATATAAACAAAACATGAAGAAAAGAATTGATTTAACTGTAACTGTATCAAAATGCTAGTCAAAATGATAGATTGTTCCAATATAGTAATGTCCCATAAACATATCCTTGGGAAAGGCAAATTCATTAAAACAGATTGTCTCACATGCAATTCTAGCAGCAGGAAGAGAACCTCAGCTTTTAGCTGTAACTAAGAGAGGAATAAAAGCTTCCTCATCTAGCTTCAAGACCCCAGCAATTTCAGAAACTAAAACTAAAAATCCTGGTTCTGTGGGATATTAACCCCATCCATTCAGGCTGTTTCTATTGTTCCAACTTCTAACAAAAGCCCCAAGGCCTCACAAGCTGCTTACTGTGTTGGCTTTGAACAGACAGATCGTTACGTCTGTCTCAACCTCTCTTTATTAAAAAAAAATTCTTAAAGCCATAGTATTGTCACAATAAAATTGAAAGCTTTACGAATGTTATTGAGTATTTATTGAGTCAAGTAGATTAACAGTTGCCATTTTACAGATACAAACTCTATCATGTACTTTTCATTTAAATAGTGTTATTAACACCAAAAACATCCCATGAAGACTCAGACAAGGAATCACAGGAGGAAACACAAGTTGAAGTTCCTAAGCATTAGAAAGCAGTTTGTGAACAGAGTCTTTAAGAATACATGGCTGGTAGACAGAGTAAAACCCATGATCTTTTTACTTCTTGCAGTTATTTTGTTGTGGTGATGGTTGGCCTCATTGCTATGGAGACTGCTGGGATGGGTCAATGCTGCTCCTTCTCTAATGGGCGAGTGCACTAAGCAGTGGCAACAGATGTCATGGTTACCCTCAGTCCACCATGCCATCATCACCATGGGAACAGGCAACACTCACAACCCCAAGCAGGGTGCTACCCAAAGTTGATGTTGATACCATGGGAAACAATTTTGACAACCATCTCTCCATCAGCATGGGGAGAAGGACCCAGGCCCACCCCTTAACTCTGGAAATGTGAAATGCAACAGGAAAATGCTCTAAAATCTTGGTGATTCAATTTTCATCATCATTTATTGAATTTAATAATTGATTCAAAGGGATAGTTCAGCACATTCTTGAACTTCTTCCTAAATCTGGTCTGTGTCACAGCATGAATACACGTGTTTGTGGAATACTTCAGTATGAAGCCCAATTGCTGCCAGTATTTTTTGAGATAGTCATGTATCCAAAATCAACATACAATATACCTCAAACAATGCCCAAAATAGGATGAAATTGGCTGAGATAACAAACAGTAAAATGATGGATTTCCTTCGACTTTTCATCCTTCGATCTCTAGGACTCTCTCAGTTGTGGTGAGCCTGCAGTTGTAAAATATTTCTGACAGTGGAAATGTTAAGCAGCAGAATCAGGAAACATGGGACTGCAACAGTTACAGTGTAATGTAGGAACTCGTTTGCAGTCCAGACTTGAGAATACTGAATGTCGCAAGTTACAATATAAAACCCAAGGGAAATTCCAAAAGTAAAAGCGACCAGTGAACATAAAATACCTGATAAATGTTCAGCTTATCATAACCATTGTTTCCAGAACCACTGTCTCTGTTCTTTTTGTTACAATATTTAGAACAAAGAACAAAGAAAATGACAGCACGGGAAGAGGCTCTTCGGCCCTCCAAGCCTGCGCCGATCCAGATCCTGTATCTAAACCTGTCGCTTATTTTCCAAGGATCTGTATCCCTCTGCTCCCTGCCCATTCATGTATCTGACTAGATACATCTTAAATGACGCTATCGTGCCCGCCTCTACCACCTCCACTGGCAACGCGTTCCAGGCACCCACCACCCTATGCGTAAAGAACTTTCCACGCATATCTCCCTTAAACTTGTCCCCTCTCACCTTGAAATTGTGACCCCTCGTAATTGAGTCCCGCACTCTGGGAAAAAGCTTCTTGCTATCCACCCTGTCTATACCCCTCATGATTCTGTAGACCTCAATCAGGTCCCCCCTCTTTCTAATGTAAATAATCCTAATCTACTCAACCTCTCTTCATAGCTAGCGGCCTCCATACCAGGCAACATCCTGGTGAACCTCCTCTGTACCCTCTCCAAAGCATCCACATCCTTTCAGTAATGTGGCGACCAGAACTGTAAGCAGTCTTCCAAATGTGGTCGAACCAAAGTCCTATACAACTGTAACATGACCTGCCAACTCTTGTACTCAATACCCCGTCCGATGAATGAAAGCATGCCATATGCCTTCTTGACCACTCTATCAACCTGCGTTGCCACGTTCAGGGTACAATGGACCTGAACACCCAGATCTCTCTGTGCATCAATTTTCCCCAGGGCTTTTCCATTTACCACATAGTTCGCTCTTGAATTGGATCTTCCAAAATGCATCACCTCGCGTTTGCCTGAATTGAACTCCATCTGCCATTTCTCCACCCAACTCTCCAATCTATCTATATTCTGCTGCATTCTCCGACAGTCCCCTTCACCATCTGCTACTCCACCAATCTTAGTGTCATCTGCAAACTTGCTAATCAGACCATCTATACCTTCGTCCAGATCATTTATGTATATCACAAACAACAGTGGTCCCAGCACGGATTCCTGTGGAACACCACTGGTCACAGTTCTCAATTTTGAGAAATTCCCTTCCACTACAACTCTCTGTCTCCTGTTGCCCAGCCAGTTCTCTATCCATCTAGCTAGTACACCCTGGACCCCATGCGACTTCACTTTCTCCATCAGCCTCCCATAGGGAACCTTATCAAACGCCTTACTGAAGTCCATGTATATAACATCTACAGCCCTTCCCTCATCTATCAACTTTGTCACTTCCTCAAAGAATTCTATCAAGTTGGTAAGACATGACGTTCCCTGCACAAAACCATGCTGCCTATCACTAATAAGCCCATTCTCTTCCCAATGTAAATAGATCCTATCCCTCAGTATCTTCTCCAGCAGCTTCCCCACCTCTGACATCAGGCTCATCGGTCTATAATTACCTGGATTATCCTTGCTACCCTTCTTAAACAAGGCGATAACATTAACAATTCTCCAGTCCTCCGGGACCTCACCCGTGCTCAAGGATGCTGCAAAGATATCTGTTAAGGCCCCAGCTATTTCCTCTCTCGCTTCCCTCAGTAACCTGGGATAGATCTCATTCAGACCTAGGGACTTGTCCACCCTATGGCTCCCTAATCTTGCCCTTTCTATCCCTCATTTTCACAGGGGCATGCCTGTCCTGCACTCTAATCAACCTCTCTTTAAAAGCCTCCCACATATCAAATATGGATTTACCCTCAAACAGCTGCTCCCAATCCACATTCCCCAGCTCCTGCTGAATTTTGCTATAGTTGGCCTTTCCCCAACTTAGCACTCTTCCTTTAGGACCACTCTCGTCTTTGTCCATGAGTATTGTAAAACTTACGGAATTGTGATCACTATTCCCAAAGTAATTCCCTACTGAAACTTCAACCACCTGGCCGAGCTCATTCCCCAACACCAGGTCCAGTATGGGCTCTTCCTGAGTTGGACTATTTACATAAAACCCTCCTGGATGCTCCTTACAAATTCTGCTCCATCTAAACCCCTAACACTAAGTGAATCCCAGTCAATGTTAGGAAAATTAAAATCTCCCATCACCACCACCCTCTTGCTCCTACATCTTTCCATAGCCTGTCTACATATTTGTACCTCTATCTCACACTCACTATTGGGAGGCCTGTAGTACAGCCCCAACATTGTTACCGCACCCTTCCTATTTCTGAGCTCTGCCCATATTGCCTCACTGCTCGAGTCCTCTATAGTGCCCTCCTTCAGCACAGCTGTGATATCCCCTTTGACCAGTAATGCAACTCCTCCACCCCATTTACCTGCCTCTCTATCCCGCCTGAAGCATCTATATCCTGGGATATTTAGTTGCCAATCTTGCCCTTCCCTCAGCCAAGTCTCAGTAATAGCAATAACATCGTACTCCCAGGTACTAATCCAAGCCCTAAGTTCATCTGCTTTACCTACTACACTTCTCATATTAAAACAAATGCACCTCAGACCACCTGTCCCTTTGTGTTCATCATCTGCTCTCTGCCTCCTCTTCCCCTTAGTCACACTGACTTCATTATCGAGTTCCTTACAGGCTTTAGTTACCACCTCCTTACTGTCTTTTGCTTTTCAGCTTCTGATGATAAATAGCCACAATCAATCAAATGTGAAAGTGACAGTGAACCAAAGAGGATAGTCAGTAGCTGCAAACTGCAGGACTGCGTGAATATCACAGGTAGGTATTGATTCCAAGAAAATAAACCACTCCTCAAAAACAATTAGATTATGTTTCATGATCAGATCAGAGATACTGACCAGTAGACCTGCAAGTGTCATGGCCATCAGGTAATGAGTGATACATTTGAGAGTCTGCATTTTCCCTGAGACAGGATGACAATTGTCACTAAGTTAGCTACAGGGAGGAAAGAAACAGGGGAATTATACACCAGACAGACAGCAAAATATAAGCTTCATTGTGGACCTTTTGAAATTTTAGGACGTATTACTGTATCCAGAGAGATTTTGGTATAATCTTACCTGTGACAATGCTCTGCGCAAGACAGAAGGATTACCATCCAATAAAAGCAATCATTAGCAAGAAATTAAAATTGGAGACAAAAACATGCATGATTACATTTATAAGAAATTGCATAAGTGGGATTGCTGAATCATTTTCTTTTCTTTACACTATAAGAGGAGTGGAGCAGAAACAAAAAGCAGGAGAAGAGCAGGCTTGAGACTAATATTTATAATAAGAATGTGAGTAAGACCAGTGAAGTCACAGAGTCAGAGTCATAGAGGTATATAGCATGGAAACAGACCCTTCGGTCCACCTTATCCATGCCGACCAGATACCCTAGATAAATCTAGTCCCATTTACCAGCATTTGCCCTATATCCCTCTAAACCCTGCCTATTCATGTACCCATCCAGATGCCTTTAAATATTGTAATTGTACCAGCCTCCACCACTTCCTCTGGCAGCTCATTCCATACACACACCACCCTCTGCGTGAAAAAGTTGCCCTCGGTCCCTGTTATATCTTTTCCTCTCATCTTAAACCTACGCCCTCTAGTTTTGGACTCCTCCATCCCGGGGAAAATTCTTATCTATTTACCCTATCCATGACCCTCATAATTTTATAAACTTCTGAGGTCAGCCCTCAGCCTTCAACGTTCCAGGGAAAATAGGCCCAGCCAATTTAACCTCTCCCCATAGCTCAAACTCCCCAACCCTGGCAGCATCCTTGTAAATCTTTTCTGAACCCTTTCAAGTTTCACAACATCCTTCCTATAGCAGAGAGACAAGAATTTATGCAATACTCCAAAAGTGGCCTCACCAATATCTTGTACAGCTGCAACATGACCTCCCAACTTCTATACTGAATGGACTGACCCATAAAGGCAAGCATGCCAAATGCCTTCTTCACTACTCTATATAGCCGCGACTCTACTTTTAAGGAATTATGAACCTGCACCCAAAGGTCTCTTTGTTCAGCAACACACCCCAGGACCTGACAATTAAGAGTATAAGCCCTATCCTGACTTGCCTTTCCAAATTGCAGCATCTAAATTAAACACCATCTGCCACTCCTTGGCCCATCTGATCAAGATCCTATTGTACTCTGAGGTAACCTTCTTCGCTATCCACTACATCTCCAATTTTAGTGTCATCTGCAAATTTACTAACAATATCTCCTATGTTCACATCCAAATCATTTATATAAATGACAAGAAACAATGGACCCAGCACCGATCCTTATGGCACACCGCTGGTCACAGGCCTCCAGTCTAAAAAGCAATGTTCCACCACCACCTTGGCTTGCTAAGCTGGTTTGTTGTTCCGCCTTTGGGGAGGCAATGGCCTAGTGGTATTATCACTGGACTATTAATCCAGATACCCAGATAATGTTCTGGGGACCTGGGTTCGAATCCCGCCACGGCAGATGGTGGAATTTGAATTCAATAAATATCAGGAATTAAGAATCTAATGATGACAATGAATCCATTGTCGACTGTCAGGGAAAATCCATCTGGTTCACTAATGTCCTTTAGAGAAGGAAACTGCCATCCTTACCTGGTTTGGCCTACATGTGACTCCAGGCCCACAGCAATGTGGTTGACTCTTAGCTGCCCTCTGTGCAGTTTGGGTTGGGCAGTAAATGCTGCCTAGCTAGCGATGTCCTCATCCTGTTAATGAATAAAAGGACCCTCTGTCCTCTACCTTCGAGCCAGTTCTGTATCCAGATGGCTAGTTCTCCCTGTATTCCATGTGATCTAACCTTTCAGAGTAGATTTGTAGTGGATGTTGTGGTTGGTTGGCTCGTCGAGCTAGTTCATTGTTCCACAGACGTTTACCCCTGCTGGGTAACATCATCAGTGCAGCCTCCGATGAAGCGCTGTTGTGTTTTCCCACTTGGTTTTTAATCTCTGGTATCCGTTGAGCTGAATTACCTCACCTCCAGTTTTCCTTCGCAATGGATTGTATACGGGGTCTTGTTCTATGTGTTTGTTGATGGCTTTCTTAGTGGAGTACCAGGCTTCTAGGAATTCCTGTGCTTGTGTCTGCTTTGCCTGTCTCACGATCCTGGTGTTGTCCCAATTGAACTGATGGTTCTCCTTATCCATGAGGATGGAGGTGAGTGAGCATTGGTCATGTCTTTTTGTTGCTAGTTGATATTCCTGTACCCTTGTGGCTAATTTCCTTCCTGTCTGTCCAATGTAGTGTTTGTCACAGTCTTTGCAGGAAGTAGGGAAGTGTTTTAATATATTCAGCATTTGATTTGGTGTCCAATCATGTAGTTGTTCAAAAGCTGACAAATTGTGCTTTCTACTTTAGCAAATTTGCTGATCTACAAATAGCTTTGATAGATTGAATGGTTCTGACACTAAGAATGGTCTGTGTGAGATGTCTTGCATTGGCTGATTGTTGATAAGGACATAACCAACAACTTCAAGGGTCTGATTTGTATGATCATTGTCAGTATTTTGATTTCATTGAACTACCTTTGTTTTGTTATATTGCTGTATTCTTCATTGCTGAAAAATGTTCCTGTGTCTTTGTTGTTATAAAGATTGTTGTTGTAATACTAAAACTGAACATTAACATTCTGATGTTCGAAATGCTATTTTCAATTTTACATTAGCAACACGGTGTCTTGGAGCTTAATGAATTCTTAATTAGTTCTTATTTGAAATGTATTTTTCTCATTTACTGGTATACTATGAGTTTGATTTGAAATCAGACATGGCAGAGAGAAGGTAATGTCCAAGATTGTTTTTGGGCTTAGACTTGAAAGATCAGTGCTGATTATATTGTCACACATGGCAATCTTTACAAGATGCTAGGCTACAATTTTATAGTTACAATACCTAATCAGTAACTGATCTAGTTCCTGTGTTCATCTTCAGAGTGTCTCAACTTTTAATGTGTCTTCTAGTGAGAACCTTCCAGGCTGCTCTAACTCTACCCACATGGGGGTATTTTTATCCAGTGAGGTGTAGCTCCACGACATCAATGCAAGGTTGCACTGGGATCCTGATTACCTCACCTGGAACTACAATCAGATTTCCAGCAGCAATAGAGGAAGTTAAATCCGAGAACCTCTTGTTTATCCATCCCATGGAGAAGATAGAAAAAGAAGATAAAAACCTTCAAGACATGGTGTAGGAGAGAGGGCATCAGATTCTGACACAGTTGATCGTTTTGCCTTGTTGTGACCTGTTGCTCCTCAGTGATGGTGGAAAGGCTATCTGCTTCAGTCCAAAGTTATTAAGGTTACTACAGCATCATGACATTCACCAACATGTAGCGTGCAAGGTCACACACCAACTATACATTCCTGGGCAGAGATTGACTTTAGTTACTGTAAATCTTACTCCTTTACATGAGGGTCTGGAGGTCCCTCTGTATTCTACATTGCTCTCTACTTAATTTAAACTTTCCTTTTCTACACTTACTTCCAACGTGGGAAACCTTACATTTTTCCATGTTACATTCCATCTGTCCATTTTTTACTGCACACGTAATCTATCTGTAACTCTTTGCAGACTGTTTGTATCCGTCTCACCACTTGCTTCTCTGCTTCCCTGTGTATCTGTGAACCTCTCACTATTGAGTTTCAAACCCTATTTTCGGTGCAAGTTTTACAATTCACCAGGATACAGCTCTCTCAATGTCCAGCTGAAGTTTGAAGCTCCATCTTACCCCCAGAGCTAATTCCAAATTAAAATTCATTTAACATAGAATCCCTACAGTGTGGAAACAGGCCCTTTGGCCCAACAAGTCCACACCAACCCTTGAAGCATACCATCCAGGCTCATCCCCTTATAACCCACATAAGCTACAAATCTCTGAACACTATGAACAATTTAGCATGGCCAATCCGCCTCACCTGCACATCTTTGGACTGTGGGAGGAAACTGGAGCACCCAGAGGAAACCCACACAGACACTGGGAGAATGTGCAAACTCCACACAGACAGTCGCCTGAGGGTGGAATTGAACCCGGGTCCCTGGCGCTATGAGGCAGCAGTGCTAACCAATGAGTCACCGTGCTGCCCTATTTCTACCAGTCTCTGAGCTTTACATTCAATTCTGATCTTTTTGAACCTGTGTTAGTTCTCTTGTGGGCCAGGTAGTAATCTGGAGTTTCTTTTGCGTTTCTGCCTTTTAATATAGCCCCTGAGTAAAAACAGTAAACCCCGGAAGGGGTCTGCAGCCTTTTCTCCATTTTTTCATCTTGTTATAGAATCATAGAGTCATATAGTTTCCTTCAGTTGTAGACCCAGATGCACTGTAACTCCAGGCCCAGGCCTGGCCCACAGTTTGATCAACAAATCCCCTGGTGTCCCTGGATGTTTGTCATATCTCGCCTTACAACCTCCTACAAAATGATCCACAGCACCTTCACTATCTTTCCAGCAGCAACCACAAGTCAAACCCAGGCTACCCCCCAAACCCACCCTTCAACTGGAGCTTGGCTGTCTGGCTTGTCATTGTAACTAACACGAGAGGGAGCTCCTCATGTTGCTGAGCTGATGTCTAGCTGAGAGCGATTATCAATGAAACATGTTCTGTACCCGTCCACTGAATAACAAACCTGATTGATGTCACACTCAGACCCCTCCTCCTATTAGTGCCAGCACTATAACCTTTGAACCGGAGCACTGCCTAGCACGAGGAACCGTGCAGGCCACACTGTAATTAACTAGCAGTGTGGCACACTTCATATTATATAAAGACATGAACATGGGGCAGGAGTACGGCCTCTCGAACCTACTCTGTCATTTAATGGCTCAGCGGTTAGCACTGCTGCCTCACAGCGCCAGGGACCCGAGTCCAATTTCAGCCTTAGGGGAGTTTGCACGTTCTCCCCGTGTCTGCGTGGGTTTCCTTTGGGTGCTCCGGTTTCCTCCCACAGTCCAAAG